CTATTTCTAATATTTATTACAATATTACGTTTATGTACCTGCAGTTCGTGTTGGGGCAGAGCATCGGCAGGTCTATGTCTCACCTGACGCAATGACGAGGGCGCAGGGGGGAAAGTCCACCACCGCCAGGGTGAGAATAACGGCGGCAGCTCTTTCCACGCGAGATGAGCTGCTGACACGGACAGCAGGGGAAGACGCCAAGGGACCAACAATGGACACGGATACCATAGAGGCCATAATTGGTGAGACATGTCTTTTATGCGGCAAAGCTACCGAATGGAACCAAAGAGCTATTGCATGTGATGAATGCCAAGGTTGGTATCATGTTGACTGCATGTCCATGTCTACCGCAAACTACAATGTTCTGGCGGAACATAACAGTCTAGAATGGATATGTTGTCAGTGTGGTATGCCAAATTTCTGCTGGACGCGGACCAAACTGACGACTGGACCCTGCCAAAGGGCCTCGCTGCCCTGACTGACGGCGGCGCAGCAGGCGGTGCCACACAGCACGATGGCGACGAGGCTTCAGATGCGTCAGCTGAAGAAGACGCGACGCGTCAGTCGATACTCTCCAAGCAGAGGCGGCGTTGTGTTTTTTGGAGAGCGGCGCAAGCTATGCCACCTTCTCTCCGCGGCAAAATCGTCCGTCCGCGGCAAAATCGTCCCCTGTGGCATAACTCGCCGCTCTCTGAATAACATAACGCCGCCGTCCAACAGGTGCCACTAAACTTGGGAAGTGAACAAAAGTTGACCAAGAAGTAGGAAAGTTTAAACCCTACCTGTCCTTTTTAGTCCAATATAAACAAGCTATACTCAAACTCTTAAGAGGATAAAAAATATTCAAAGATATAAGTCTGATTAATAAAGGAATCTATTCACATTGCCTATAATAAATATCATCTTTATATGCGCTCTTTCAGAGATGGCACACGCTGATGCCTGTAAGTATAATCATAACTTGTGGTTTAAGCTATCTCATAACATGATCACTCCGTTATAGACTAAACAATTGGCTTTGAACATGAAATCATCTTTGTTGATAGGGAACCAATGGTTTTCGAATATCTGTGGTATAACCCGTTTCAAAGACATCAAACAAAACAAATATTCATCTTACGTTACGAACGTGTTCAAGGCATTAAGTTGTATAGTTGTAACACAAGCCATTCGGATAATTTTCGACATAAAGTTGGCACTGACACTTTCATATCTCTCCTTGATATAGACCTACGTTAGTTATCTTCCATAACTTTATGTTTAATTAGTACTTTTTGTGGTTTCAATGATCATAGATGTATATATCAAAATGACACAGTTTTATTTCATTTTTTTAAAGATATAGATACTGCTGTAAACAATATGAGACGAGAGAACGCTGTGCCAGTGTAGGTTGTTTTATTACTTGTTGTAAAAGAACGTCATACACTGTGGTCTTCAAAATTTGTTGTAATTAATTTTTGTTCTGAGGAGGACAGAGTGGTGGTTTTGAAATGACAATGCCCACTTAAATGCGAGGTATAGCAAACTTCATATGTCTTAAAAATATTATACATGTGAACTAATAACGTAATCTTGAGTCAGACATAACCCTTCATTTCAGGACCTGATTATGTAATAAGGCCTTTCCTTTTCTCTCCAACACATTACAGAATCGATCCTGTTATAGACCCGTACATTGATGTAAGTGTAATACAGAGTCCTTTACTTATATCTAAGTCATAGATACAACAACTTTATTTAAACAAAATATATATACTTATAGTGAATAATTTTATGCCCGCCTGCTACCAAATTTGCCACTTAATACATTATTGTCTCCACATATATGACCCTTTTTGCCATATTTCATGAGTAGTTTTATAATGGATTCATTTTAAAAAGTATATATAATAGTAGAAGTAACGAATGTTTCCCCGTACGGGCCAAAAAAAGAGCGAAATAGCCAATTTTTTGTCGCTATTCCAAGGGCAGCCATCCCTCCCTCGAGAAACGTGACATTGAGCCTTCAGCAAGTTGTATTTACTATACTGCGGCGCGATTTGGAAAAATAGAGGGGGACACGTTTAGTAAACAGAACAGAGTGCACGCTAGTCAGACATGACAGTCACGTGACCCCCGAGCTGAAATGAAAATGGCGGACGCTAGGCTCTGACGCACTCAATGCTCCTCACTTTCCAGCGAAATCTAGGCCTGAAATAAGGAATAGGGCTATATCGTACGTACTAAAACGTAGGGGAAGGCTTCAGGTTTACTTTGAGTCCTTCTAGAGGAATTCTACTTAAGTTTTCTGGAGGTACCGACTCGTTTGTAACGCCGGACCCATCATGATACTTCATGGACGGTCACAGCATGGAAATGACCTGTACATGGCTCCGGGCGATCGCCAAGTCGCCGGATAGATAGCCCCAAAGAGAAGCATGAACAGAAGTGGTATGGGATTTTTAGTAAATTGGTGAACGTTAGGTAAAATAACGTTTGTCACAACTTGGACTTCAAAATATATATATTTTGGCCCAGACATCTGCACAATTCACCAATATTCTATATATATCCTTTGTTATATTTACAAAATGTGTACGATCTTTTCAACGGAAGTTATGATGGAAGTTAAGGCCTATATTTGTTGTATTATAGAACTGAAATATGTTGCAAATAATCTACAGTATGGCCGTGGAGTTGGTCAGATCAATCAGATGTCGTAGACCCAACTTTCCATTCATTAAAAATAAAAAAGGAGGTTACACAGTTTGATTTGTCATGCTTGTTCACATATCTGTATAACTGCATACCATTAGCTCAGCTGCCTTTTACTAATGCTTGGACCCCAACTCAGGGGTCAAAATCATCAACTTTAAAATATGCCTCAGGATGGGTTATTTATTACCTTACGGCCCCGTAACATTTTCTTGAATATTTGACAGTTATTGGTATACTGAATTATCCACCTTTGTGACATCAATCAATTTGCAAACGTTAAGTAAATTGAATGTCAATAGATTTGGAATCATATACGCGATTACAATGTCAACAAATTTATTTAATTATTATATTTTCAGGTTATGGTACAGATAGCCCTGAGATTAGAAGAGGAAGATCGTATACTGCGAGATGAAAATACAACGTAAGATCCTGTTCATTTTTTTGATGTACACAATATCTTGTAAGGTCACTTAAAAGGTGACACATCAATTAACTCTTGTGGTCCTTTTCGTAGCAACTTAGACTATTAACGGCATGGTTAAGTTGCAAATTTATACATAGCAGCAAAAATTGTGGCCATTTTACTCAACCATATTCAGCATCTCTCTTCTCGAGTAGACCAATCTATTTGATGCAGTTTACCTGTTGACCTCAGCATGTGTTATTTTTACATGTTCTGGGTACATGATTTGTTATTTATTGCAATTTCTATGCGATTGACTGTGTAGCACACCATTGCAGTAGTGTAGAAATATTGATTAACATACTAGCTATGAGTTATTGGTGTATTAATATATAGACCATGTGTACATTAATATATACTTGATTTCTTTCAGGTGCGCGATATGCTTGGACACAAGTACTGGTATTTACTACACATTGCCTTGCAAGCATATGTACCATAGGCAGTGTATTACAGATTGGCTGAAGGTACGTCTATTAGTTTCAACTTATTTCTTTTATGGTACCTTAACTGGCTTGCATGTGTGGTTGTAAGTAGTAGTAATTGCTCAAATCTACCTGTTAGACGCCAGTAAATTATTCAGGCACTATACAATATGCCGCCTATCAAAATGTGAAATTATTATCTAATTACCTCAGTCAGTACGGGGGACCTTTTCGCCTGTATTCTGTATACTAGTACTTCACTAATTGTTATCTTTAGCCGCATTTTCAGTATATCACAAGCACTTTGATTTAATCGTCCGCATTCATTGACAATTACGCCTTTTTGAGATCTAACCGAATAGCAAACAATTTAGACATAGGGCATTACTTTATACTATTTTCATTGCCTTTTTGCAGGTGTCCCCCTCTTGCCCCTTCTGTCGAGCACCTACGCCCCAGCTGGTAGGTCAAGGTAAACAAAAACTTTTTCTCAAACTACGTTGCACATTACTACATTATATACTGTACTTGTGAATAATATATAATTGCACTGTATGCACTTGTGTTTGTTATATATAGTTACAAGTATGTTTGAAAAACAAGGGTGTACAGGGATACGTGAGATCAACAGGTTTGAATTTAATAGTAGTGTACAAATTCAGTTACTCGAGCCGAAATCTATCACCAAATAATGGCCAGACTTACGTATTAGAGATACCTGTCTTTGATTTGCCCTATGACCTTTTGGTGGGCGAGGAAAATTGTCACGCTGCAGTAGATATTAAATCAATCAGATAGATAACAAGTCTTTCTATTTCCTGAGTGTTTCCTGTAACCCATAGCAGGTTGCCAGGTGAACGTACTACAAAAGTGAACATGACTAGCCAAGCGAAGTGACTACTTAATTAGCTCAGTCACTGTGATATCTGTATATTAGTACTTCACTAGTACCTCTATAACAAAGCCAAGAAAACAAGCCAAGAGGTAAACTGCATCAAATACATGAAAGTTACAAGGGGGTGAAAAGCATAAAACAAACACACTCTACATACGTGGCAGACAAACTGGGAGAAAGTATATTTGACAAACCCAAAATCTTCTGGTCGTATATAATAGGACTGAGGAAAGACATTATAGGGGTAGTACCTCTAAAAGTGGATTATACCACTATCAGTAACAGCGGGAAAAAAAGCAAAAGCTCTCAGCGCACAGTTCCAAAGTGTTTTCACAGAGGAAGACACCACAGATATTCCATCTCTATGTCAGCCTTGTACTCCTTCAATGGAACATACAGCAGTTTCTACTTATGGCTTTGAAAAGGTGCTTCATGGTCTCGGTTCGTCTAAATCATCATACCTGACCAAATACCACCTAGATTCCTATAGATGACAGCTTGTGAGATCGCACCTGTACTAACTAACATCTTCCCACACACGTTAAACACTGCAGAAATCCTTACAGACTGGATACATGCAAATATATGCGCTATCTTTAAAAAGGGAGATAAAGTGGTCCCCAGCAACTACAGACCTATTTCACTGTCCTTCATATCCTGCAAACATCTTGAACATATTATCCATAGCCAAATCATATAGCATTTAGAAAGCTACAATATATTGACGAATTATTAGCATGGATTCAGAGCCAAACGATCCACAGAAACATAGCTTATACTAACAAACCATGACATAACAGGCGCACTGAACAATAAACGACAGGTAGATCTAGCAATACTTGATTTCACTAATGCTTTTGACAAAGTCCCCCATGGCAGGCTCATCAATCAAGCGTAATCTGTGGGCATGCCTAACTAGAGTAAAATGACTTAGATATACGTCTCTTTTAACACCGAACCTAGAATATGCAGCGACATTATGGGATCTACATACAAAGAAAAACAAACAAACTTTTGGACCACCGCAGAAAGGTTGGTGCATTGACTTTTTTCCCCCGCATGTACCACAGAGAACCACAAACCCTGTTGAATGACCTTGTTACTAAACACAGAGAGGTGCGGCGGGTGACACGCCAGTCAAAATCTTATCACGAGAACACTCTGGTGGTCCCTGTCTCATACACCAACAGTCATATGAGAACTTTTGTATTGACAATAGTTAGGCTTTGGAACAGTCTTCCAAGGGAGATTGCTAAGATCAGGGACAAACAAAGATTCAAACGTGAAGTTAATTCTTTCTTCAGTGTAAAACTCTGACAGCATTTTGTCTTCGCAATCATGTTGCTAATGCTGAGTGAGAGCTGACATAGATAATAAAAAAAATAAAAATAAACAAGAAAGGGTACAGAATCAAGCTGCAAGATGCTGTATGAACAACTATGAAAGAGGTGCCAACGACACAGAAATGGAAAATAACTTACAGTGGGTGTCACTTAAAGACAGAAGAAAATACCCTACTATGCGTGATGTAGAAAATGTCTAATAAACGGGTGGACGTCCCAATTACTAAGTAACTTATACCAGCACAGAGGAGAACAGAAAATAGCCATGCTTTCAAGTACAAGGGATATCAACCAAGCATTGAAACAATCAAGACTACATTCTTTCCTAAAACTACTACAGAGTGGATCTTGCTGTCACCAAGAACAGTGGGGGCATTGTCACTAGATAGCTTTAAACAATGTCTAGAGATAGATGACCTTAGGTTAGGTGTAACAAGTCGATCAAAGTAATGTAACCAGCTGTCGCTGTGCCGCATGCCTGTGAAGCTGGTGTGCTACGCTGAAAGGCAATTTTACTGGCTATACAGATACAGATACAGTAGCGATCGTAACCTCTCCTCAGAAAATCTATAGCTCTAATAATTAGTAGCATCAAACAGAGGTGAAATTAACATATATATATCTAACATCGTTCATGTCCCTTTTAACAGACACACAAGCAGAGGATCCACATGGTATGTTAACCCACCTATTCATTTATATCAACATCCCTAAATGAATAATTTTTATATATTGAACCTCCTCCTCCCTGCAGTGATTGGAATTAATTTATAAGGCCCTTGTATTTACAGCCCGAGATTTGATCCTGAACGGGTTTGATCGTAAGTGGTGAACAATTGCTATACTTTTTACCCAAAGCTTATTCCTTTCTTATTCTGTATCATGACAGTCTAAAATTTATTATCCCTTTAAAGTAAAACGCTACTTATTTCCACTTTTCCAGTATCAGGCCTCGACTTCGTAGACATGAATTGTAAGTTTCATATCTTATTTTACGTTGGTCACACCCAACTACTGGAGGACATATCTCAAATTCCGACCTTGTTCGAATCAATTTCACATTTGCTTCCTGTATCGTCGACAATGCCCATGATCTTTACTTATTACTTAACTTAACCTGGACTTGAACACCTTCGATAGTACATATAAAATTTAAATTCGCCCATTCCAACCCATCTCTTGTCTTAACCTCATTGTGTAATAGTCTATTAATTAATGACGCACAATTATTGTTATAATACTAACTAGCTCTTGCTTACTTCTTCAGTTGCCGACCTCGACAACCTGGACCGTACGTTATATTACTCTTTATTTGAAATTTAGATAGCTCTAAGCAATCTCTTTTAGGGCTCCTACCCACACAATCAATATAATGTCACTGACCTGGGTACAAATATAGGACATAATCCTGCAACTCCACTACCCCAT